TTGGTTGTCTGTCTCTAAGTGTAGCCCTGTGATAGACTGGTTACCTGTCCAGGTGAACCTGCCTTCACCCTGAGTCAGCTGGGATAGGCTCCGCCCCCCTGTGAGGACTAAGGTGTAGATGATGGATTATCCACAGCTTGACTCTGCTGCTGTGCATCTTTGTTTCCTGCCATCACTTCCTGTTGTGTTGTTTGGATTGTAAATGAAGAACATGGAGAACATCTTCTCTGTGAAGCAAACAGGAAGTAACCTGAGAGACGCTGCTCACCTGCACGCCGTTGGTCCTCTGCTGCCACCTGCAGGCAGAGAGACAACACACCAGATTCACATCGACCTGAAACCTGGCGTTCACACTGACTCTGTTAAACACAGTCATGTGACCAAAGACCAAACGAGTCACTGAGAGGAGAAAGCAGGAGGAAGGAACATAAAGCCAGCTGAGGGTGTTTATTTTAACCCCTTCTTTTTTATATACTTTATTTTTATTGTTAGATATTTTTATGTGGAACAAACAGCAAACAGGAAAGTAAAAGTAAGGGTCAGCAAGGTTCAGCATTAACTCATGACTCTGATCACTTCTGAGAGCCGACCACAGACACGTTGGTTTGTTCATCATGTCCACCAGCATGCAGCTGCAGAAACACGACATCAGTTCTACAGACGCCAGAATAAGACATCTGGACAGGACCAGCACTGCAGCTGCTTTAGGCTGGTGTATGATTTACCTCTCAAACAGCACTGGTGCATCTCAGAGAGAAGGTCCATGGAGGCGCTACGCTGAGCCGTTTCCTGGTTCTTGCTTTTTGCAGCTGGCTAAAAGAATCTGTGTTAAGCACTGATCTTGTTTCCTTGTGTTTGTTGGTAAATTCCTTAAATGCATAAAACCCAGAGAGCAGTCTTGAAGAGAACGACTGGGTTTTACAGAGCGACCTCTCTCCAGCTGCAAGGAGCTACACACTGAGGAGAACGTTTCTCTGATGGCTTTAGCTTCATGTGCTTCCATAAATGTTTTAATCACATTGAATCCTCTCTCTGTCGTCCACCTGATGTTGCTGAGATGGTCTCAGCTGAAGGTATCTGAAGACATCACATTTCTCCAGGTTGAAGGTGGATCTAATTTGTTGGAAGGTCATTAGTTCTTTATTATTTTATTTTAACCCTTTCAGTAAAAAACAACATACATGTGGCAATGATGAAGCTGAAGGCTACGACAGAACATGGCGCCCGACCTCGTCCTCTCTCTGCAACAAGCAAACGAACTGACAGGTAGGCAGGTGGTGGCTGAGGACCAATCATTCAGCCCCCGACACACAGCTCCGCCCACACACAGCTCCGCCCACACACATCCAAACACACCCACATATCCCTGCCTCTACATGCAGTACACAGTAATCAGATTACTACCAACGGCATCTGATCTCCAGGCTGTCGTCTGTGGCTTCACTCATCCTGCTAGCTTCAGAGCGACCAGACTCATGTCTGACATCCTGTTCTTTGGTGTCTTCTGTCCCTCGTTTGTCCATTTTGGATGAGATCTGAGTCATTATTGATAAACTACGAGTCATGTTGGACGACTGAAAACATTTAGGACAAATTTTTCATCTATTTCAGACACGTTTTAATGGTTACGGGACGTTTTAGCTCATTTGGGAAAAGCTGTAAGTCATTTTGGACAAAGTCTCATTAATCCTGGACAGATTCTGATGATTCTGAATGAGCTCTGAGTCCAGAGTCCGGTTCACTCCAAACATCTGGACTCCATGTGAGCCCAACACATTGATCTCCATCTGACCAGAGGATGTTCTCCAGCATCCATCAGGCTTCTGTTCATGTTCTCTGGTGAACTTTGACCTGACGACTGTGAGCCTCCACTTCCTGCTGGGAAGCCTCCACTTCCTGTTGGGAAGCCTCCACTTCCTGTTGGGAAGCCTCCACTTCCTGTGAGAGCAGCCGGTGACCTGAGGTGACCTTTATTTATTCAAAGTTCTGCTTTTGTTTTGTCTCATTTTCTGCATGTTAATATTTTTACATTTATTTGATCATTGATGATAATAAGATGATTATAATTTATGATTTATTAGGTTTGTTTTCATCATCTTACTTTTCCAGACTTTGTTGTTTCCTGTTTGTGTTTATTGCATCATCAGTCAACATCGCTGCTCTCCGTCACGTTGCTGTTTCTCTTGGGGGCGGTTCTTCCTCCTCCTCCTCCTCCTCCTCCTGGTCTGCGGCTCAGGGGTCCCGGTCAGTCCGCCTCAGCCTGCCGGACCCTGTGGACCTGGACCCGCTTGTGGACCCGGACCTGAACCGAGCTCTGTAAGTGCAGATGTACGATAAATGAAGTGAAGCTTGCTGGTGTTTTTTTTATTTTTTTTTTTTTAAACGGAGTTCGTTATTAGTGCTTCAGTCGAACCCAGACTCCATTGAAAAAAAGTCTGTTTTTAGAAGGTTTCTCGTGCCTGCGTCGGCACCGACGCTTGTCCAATAACTGTTAAATGTGATTATTGATTAGTGACGTCAGATCGTGTTATCGGCCGATAATTGATCAGTTACTCATCCGTTTAACGGACCGGTTCGGGGCTCTGAGCTCCGCCTGTTGAACCGCAGCTCATCCACAAACAGCAGCAGTGAAACATGAGCTGAAGACAGATTTTTGTTTGTTTTTTCAAAGCCTCCATGTTTGTTTTTAGGCTGTTTATCCGTAAACAAACAGATGCATCTTTGTGGGTTTTCTTGCGGCTGAACCAGACTCCCTGTCAAAGTTGTGAATTTTGGATTTGCGTGCAGCAGACACGCGCACACACCTGTGCAGGTGGACGGTGACACGTCGCCGCTGAGCAGACACCAAACACAACTTGATCTGAAGCAGCTCTCAGACCCGGTTCTGCAGCGGGGCGGTCTGCGCTGGACCCGTGCCGGTGTGAAGGCGACCGTCGCGCGCTGCTCGGTGAAACGTGAGCCGGACTAAAGGGCGGAATGTGTTCCTGACTTATCGTGAGCTAAAGAGTCGTAGTGGTGTTCAACATGAAAGAGTCCTGAGATTCTGGTGTGTGTCCGTCTCACGGCTCTGGTCTGACCTCATCAGATCCTCATCAGGTCCTCATCAGATCCTCATCAAATCCTCATCAGATCCTCATCAGGTCCTCATCAAATCCTCATCAGATCCTCATCAGGTCCTCATCAGGTCCTCATCAGATCCTCATCAGGTCCTCATCAGCTGCAGGGAGTGAAAGAATCCTGACTGGTTCTGATCCATGACACACAGACTGGTTCTGGTTCTGATGGGTCTTTATCTCTGTGACTCCAGCGTCTCTTTGTCTCCAGCTGCTGTAAACCTTTATTGTGGAGGTCGTGACCTTTCAGTGTAAAGCGTCCTGCAGAGCTTTTATGTTCAGCAGTAAAACTCTTTGTCTGAACCTCCTCCTTCTGCTGCAGCTGCTCCTCACGTTCTTCTTCTCTGGTTCTCCTCCACCTGCTCCGATCCAGAAGTTCTGTTAAACTAAAGCATGAAGCTGTTCACCTCAAAACGAGACTTTAAAGGTTTTAAAGCAAAACATGAAATAAAGTTCAAGACAAATAATAATAAAAGTCAAATCAAACGTTTTCATTTTTTCATGTTTAAAGTTCTAGTTTTTTTTTTACATTTCTCCTTCTTTAAACTACTTCCTGTGTTCTGACCGTGTCCTGGGTTCCGCTTCCTGTTTTCCAGCCGCCATGAGCCTGAACGCCGCCGACCTGAGCGAGCTGCTGGAGCTGTGGGCGGAGCTAAACCTGACGGAGCTCAACGTGTCGCGCGTGGAGGCGCTGCGCTGCTCCGGGAGTCCGGCGCTGCTGCCCGCGCTGTCCGTCCTCTACGCCGCCATCTTCCTGCTGGGCGTGGCCGCCAACGCCCTCGTGCTGTGGGCGGAGCGGCGCCGCTGCGAGACGCGGCTGTACGTGGTGAACCTGGCGGCGGCCGACCTGGTCGTCGTGGCGACGCTGCCGCTGTGGGTGACGTCGCTGCTGCGCGGCGGCCGCTGGCCCTTCGGGTTCGCCGTCTGCAAACTGGCTCACCTGCTGTTCGGCGTCAGCCTGTTCGCCAGCATCTTCTTCCTCGCCTGCATCGCCGCCGACCGCCTCCTGTCGCTGCGCGCCGCCGCCGGCCGCGGCAGGAAGCTGCAGCGACGGCTGGTCTGCCTCCTGGTTTGGTCGGCGGCGCTGGCGGCCTCCGCGCCCGACACCTTCTTCCTGCAGCTGGTGAAGTCCACGCAGCACGACGGCGCCGTGTGCCGACCCGTGTACCCGTCCGACAGCCCGCGGCGCTGGACGGCCGGCGTGCAGCTGAGCTTCTTCGTGCTCGGCTTCGCGCTGCCCTTCCCCGTCATGGCCGTCTGCTACCTGCAGGTGGCGGCGGCGCCTCCCGGCTCGGACCGCCAGCGGCGCGTCGCCCTCGGCTACGTCGTGGCCTTCGCGGCCTGCTGGCTTCCGTTCCACGCCGTCCTGCTGCTGGACTCGCTGGCGCTGCTCGGAGCGCTGAGCTTCAGCTGCCGGTTGGAGAACTTCCTGGACGCGGCGCTGCGCCTGACGCAGTGCTGCTCGCTGCTGCACTGCTGCGTCAACCCCGTCCTGTACGGTTCGCTGGGCCGCCGCCGCGCCGCCGCCGTCTTCAGGTACTCGGCCAAGAGCGGCCTCAGCGGCGCCTCGGACAGCTCTGCGCAGACGGTGGACAGCAGCGTCCCGACATGAACATCAGCGCCACGGGAGGGCCGCGAGCAGGTCACATGACCGGAGCTCACCAGAACCAGAACCCGCCCTGTAGCGGCCACGGACCAACACGGCGGCTCTAGCGCGAAACAGTTCAGCGAAACATTTTGAAATCAGCTGCTCGCAAAACCTCGGACCACCTCCAGCGCCTCATTTGCATAAAGCCGGAATCTGGGCTGCTTTATGCAAATGAGTTGCAGGCAGCCGGCGGGAACGACAATATAAAGCGTTAACCTGACGATCCTGTGGACACAACAGCTGATCGATCCAGGTGAGTTAGTGGGCGGAGCCTCAGCATACCTGAAACACTGCAGGAGTCAAACAGCATCCACAAAGTTCTGGTCAGTTCAGTCCTGACAGTCAGAGCTGAGGGTAAAATCACTCCTGACAGGCGAACTGGGGAGTTGCAAAACCCACAAGTTGTGTTCACCTGGACTCACCTGGACTCACCTGGACTCACCTGGACTCACCTGGACTCACCTGGACTCGTGTGTCGACTTGATGTTTGTTTGTTCATTCTTTCATATTTTTTGTGTCCAAGTTGAAAAATTTGTATTTTCTTGAAAATTTCTGCTAATTCTTAGAAATTCTGTTTTGAATCCCAGAAACTGACGACAGGTGAGTTTTTAGTTTGTTCATGTGATCCTGTGACTGTAAACGCCAACGAACCTGCAGGTGGGAACGAAAGACTGAAGGACTGATGAAGCTGCTGGAAGCCGACAGACTGGAACCAAACTGGTTCTGGTCTTTGGTCTCCTCATGCTGCTGCTTTCAGGAACTAAAAGGTTTTTCTGCAAATGGAAGTCTGAACGTTGGTGAAATAAAACTAAGAACCTGAACAGCTGCTGGTCTGTTGACTCACAGTGGCAGCAGTACTCCTCTGATGCTGTTCACCTGTCGGGGTCACTACACCTGTTTGGGGGGGAGTTCACACCTGTTTAGGGGGGGTTCACACCTGTCGGGGTCACATCTGTTGGGGGAGGTCACACCTGTTTGGGGGGGTTCACACCTGTCGTGTCCGTCAGGCTGCAGGTGTTCGACCAGAGAGCGCCGGCAGACAGGAGGCGTCACTCTGAGCAGGAATCTGACACCAAACTCTGAAAAAAGTCGAGTTTTAGTTTTATGTTGTCACCATCATCAACTGATTTTCAGTGATCTCCTGGAACATCTCCAAGGCCCCACTGAAGCCCCAGAAGGACCTGGACCCGGGAGCTCTAGGACCCAGTGGAGCCTTCTGAAAACTTTCCCACACTCCGATGCGATCAGACAAACTTTTATTTTGTCGTCTTAAACCGTTTTAAAAATAAAAGTCTTAAATGTTTTCTTTGTTCTCTCAGATAAATAACTCCAGTAATTCATCAGAACTTGTGAGGTTTGGTGAAGCTCGGAGCAGAACTGAGCCGATGCCGAACAGATTCCTGCTTCAATCATCAGAGGATTAAAACGAGGATCAGCGCTGATCAATAACAACAAAGGGTCGGACTGAGCGCGCTCAGTGGCGAGAGGGACTGAGGTGTTTAACGATCAGGATTACAGCTAAAAATACGCCGGGCCTCATTCTGGACTGCATCTCCATGACGACCAGAGCAGCGCCGGGCCTGGAAGCGCCACGAGTGAAAAGAGAGGAAGAAGGAGGTAACCACGGCAACCGCTCTGAAGCTGTACGCCCGGTGAACTCATTCAAGGACCCTGGAACCTCCTCAAGGACCCTGGAACCTCCTCAAGGACCCTGGGACCTCTGAAGCGGTGTGTAGTCAGACCTTCATACAGAAGTCCATCGGAGAAAGTTCTGTTTTTAGAGGCCCGGCTGTGCGCGTCTCTGCTGGTCATTGAACTTTCAGGCAGAATCCTTCATACAGAGGTTCATTGAAGAAACTGTGGATTTTAGACCTCAGTTGGCTCAGAGTCTTGGCTTGAGGTTGAAACCAGGATCTTGGATTTCCAGACGAGTCTCTGAGGTCCTGTCGTCCTTCTGTGCACTCGCTGTGTGTCTCGTTGTGGCTTAGCTCCAGAAACAGGGACTTGTGGGGCGGTTCGGACCAGACTTCGGTTCAGGCTGTGGAATGTGTGAAGTGGCTGCTGGTCCTCACAAGGACACGAGTACCAACAAGTGTGAGCTCTCAGAGGTCACAGGATTCGTTCACATGGTTTGGTAGTTTCTGAAAACTTTGATTCACATCGAACTCTGCAAAACACCTGGAAACGTAGAAACACAGCGAGTTCAGCTTAAACGGAGCAGATTCTGAATGGAGTTCTGTGTGCTGAGTCCGACCTGCAGTCTGATCATTCTAAACACTCTGAGCAACAACTGGCAGAATAAAAGTAGGTATGATGACCTGCCGTCTGCTCCCACTTCAGATGTGTTTGTGTTTCTAACCTGGAACGTGAAGCTGTGAGTGGTCTGACCTCTGACCTCCTCTGTTTACCTCCACTGGATCCACACATTCCTCACATCCCCACACCGTCGCCACGGTGACAGCAGTCCCACCGCCTGATTGGCTCAGAGAGCAGCTTTTAAAGAGAAACGCCAGAACGCTCTGTGGGATCGACTCGAAATCAGTTTGTTCAGAAGAAAAAACTACGACGTCGGAGCAACGCTGAAATATTCAAAAAAAGAACATTAACAAGAAGAAACGGTTCAGAACAAAGAGACACTAAAGGACAGAAAAGAAGCACAAAAAGATGGAAAGAGACCACAAAGGACGAACACAGACAAAGTGACGCAGAACAAACACACAACCTCATGTTTCCACACCAGTGGTTGGAGAACCGGGTCAGAACGGTTCCTGTAATGATGCGTTGAGTGAAGACTGCGGACGCCACGGTGACGTGTTGCATGAGTTTAATGTAGTGCTTCAAAGACCCGTCACACTGATCAATAACTCCTCACCGATCACTGATTGATTAACACCCACATCCTGATCCATAAAGTAAAAGCGGTTAAAGTGGAACGTTGCACAGTGCGGAGGCTTGGTACCGACCCGCTGCAGCGTCTCGGACATTCAGGACCGTTACCAGTCTGGTGCAGAACCTCGTCAGGTAAAACTCGTATTGATCAGCAGTAACTGATTGATTACAGACATTTACAAGCTGGTGCTGTTACATCCCGAGTGCCATGAAGAGTCCGAAAAACAACACAAAGACATGATCCTGGTTCAGGCTCCGCCCACAAGGCCACGCCCCCTCCTGTCACATGAACAGGTACATGACAGCAGAGTGGGCGGGGCTCGGTCCCACCTGGTTCTGCTTGTTTGATGAACAGCCACTGTTCCTGAGCCGGAACCAGGAAAACTGAAGTCAGACTAAAGACAGGACGAAGGCGAGCTGGTGTGCTCGACGGGTTTCTACCGAGGACACGAAACTAAAACCACAGACAGGTACAGAAAATACAAAGCTGCTGTCAGGTGGACCCAGACCAGTCGGGTCCAGTTTGATCCTGTTTGATCCTGTTTAAACTGAATTAAACTGAATTATGGATGTGGTTGGCTCCATGTGTTTTGGGTCTAATCCAGTTTGATCTGGTTTGGTCCACTCTGGTCCACTTTCATTAGGACCAGTCAGGTCTGGTCTGGTTCAGCTTGGTCCGTTCTGCTCCATTTGGTCCACTTTGACCCGGTCTGATCCAGTCTTTGGGGGAGCAGCGCCCCCGTGTTGTCCAGGAGGTATTGCTAGATTCTCGTAGATGGACGCTGATGAGGCAGATGTAGTGTTTGTTTCAGCTCACCTGAAGCACCAGGCGGGCGGAGCTTATCGCTGTTTACTTGAGCGTTGATGGATCGCGACATTCAGTTTGTTTTTGCCCGTTGAACGGTTCTGGTCACCTGAACAGATCCAGGTGTACCGGGGCTCAAACCAGCCCGCTGCAGCTAACCACCCGGCTAACTGGTTTAACTAGTTACCTAAACCAGAGACGGCCCGTTTCCTCCACATCACAACATGTCGGATCTTTGATCACGACATGAACAGGGACGTTTCTGGATCACGTAAACCAGTCGGTCCAGTTCTAATGCTCTTTGTCAGTGATCAGAACTGAGCCTGCTGCGTGAACCCGGTTCAGCTTCAGAAGCTGCCGGCTGATTGTTTGCGGGAGAATCTTCATTTGAGATAAAACCAGATGATGAATGCGTCACTTTAAACTGGATAAAGAATCTCATCATTAAAAAAATAGTTTCCTGGATAATGAACCATGAAGCTGTGATGTGGAGCAAACAGCAGTCGAGAGTCGAGCTACATGTAAGGTTCGTTAAGCGTAAGTCTCTCTAAGCTTTGAATTATCATAAAATACATTTTTTTAAACACAGACCAGCTCGTCTATGTTTCCTAACATGAGACGAGCTGATTGGACGTCTTCAGTTGGACGTTTCAAGCCGACCCCGCTGCTGACCGGCTGGTTGAAGGTTCATGCAGATGATCCTGACGCATCTCCGCCCGCCCGCCGCTCCTGCAGGTGAAAAGCGAGCGCTCCCTTGGAGGTGGAGCTTCACTGCTGAGCCAGCAGAGCGTTCCTGTTGGCCTTCATCTTCTCCAGACGCTTGTTCAGGTGACTGTTGCTGAGCTCGAGCTCGTCGATCCGATCCAGAGCCGAGCGGAGCTGCAGAACCAGACCAGCACGTGAAGACATTTTAATGATCCAAACGACTTTCACAATGAGTTTTAGATTTGATCTGTTAATGAGAACAAACGCTGCCAGGCGGTGGCGCTCTCACCTCCCTCTGCAGCTTCCTCTTCTCCACCTTCAGCTCATCCTCGACCTTCTCGGCGCTCTCTGAGGCCGACTTGTAGCGACTCACCTGACCCTCCAGCCGGATCACCTGAGCAGGTAAAAGTCCACGTCAGATGTCGATCAGCGTTTTAATTAACCTGATGTCAGTCTAAACCCACACTGCTGTCGTTTATACAAACAGGAACAAACCGATTAGCACAAACAAGATAGATTTAAACAAGTTTAAACGCGCATTTAAGCATCTTTGGAGTCCAAATATGATCTGCAACCAGAAAATGCAAAACTGGAAACTTTACTGGAGGATCAAAGACATTCAGATCAAAAATACAAGAGATCAACAGAGAAAACCCGACTTTTTTCATCTTAAATCTGAGCAACCACTGCTAAACAGAACCACACAGGTCAATAAAACCTGTGTAATCGCATGAGGTCATTGTGTTAACATCTATACAACTGCGGTGATATATGAGAATGCTGCTGAACAGGGTTCAAAAACTACATCTTAATGCAAATGTTTAAAAATGTCTATATACGCCGACAACACCGTTTCCTCTCTGTCGCTAATGGGAGAATATTTGTGATTGAAGATTTAGATTTAGTTTGTTCTTAAATCTAATTATGAAGCTGCTGTGATTCCTGACAGAAGTAAATATGAGAACAAGCCTCCCATCATCAGAACTTATCTTCATCTTATCCAGGAAATTAATCATTTAATTACCCACGAAACTCATCAGGAATGTCTACGCTGACGACGCCGTTTTCTCTGTGAGAGTAATTTAAAGTTGATTCTGTTTAACTTTTCCCAACATTAAACTAAGGTATGATGGAAAGTATAAAGACTTACGTTTTGCTCCAGAGCGGTCACTTCCTGTTCAGACTTCACCAGTTTGAACTTGAGGTCACTGATTTGTCGGTTGGCGTCTCCTGAACAGAGAAACTAGAATCATTATTTGTTCTGCAGGTGTCCTCATAAAAACATAAGCAACAAACATGAACTCAACGTATTTACTGACGCTGAGAAAACTGAAATAATTAAGACAGCTCATTTAAGAAAAATATAAAATCACAAAATGACGCTAGTTACCAGCCACAAACCGTAAAAACAGAAAAAAGAAAACCGTTTCTGAAGGTGTCTGGATTCATCTGTAACGTTTTAAGCTTTCACCAGAATCCCTTTATTCTGTAGGCTTTATTCAGAAATCATTAAGTGGTAAAAAAAAAACGAGCCCACAGTGAGCAGAAAGCATCCAGGTGAGCAACACTGAGCTACCTGTGAGGGAACAAAATAAAACTGTACTGAATGGATCGAAAGGCAAACACAGAAATCAACAAAGCCGATGAAGTAAAGGAGGCCGACTCACGCTGCAGGTCCAGCAGGTGAGCGTCCATCCCGTTCTCCAGGCCCGCCTCCTCTGGGTTCTGGACTCCGTCGGCTCCGTTCTTCTGATCCAGCTGAGACTTCAGCAGCCTCACCTGTTCACACAAACAGAACTAATTCACTCAGAGACCGAAGGACAAACGTTTTCATCGACTCGATCGGGCTGGTCGTCCCACCTGATCCTGTAAACTCTCTCGTTCTTCAAACAGCTTCTTCAGCCGCAGCTCTGGAACACAACAGACAGAAATGACTTCGTCTGCAACACAACATCTCTAACATCGAGGTACAAGAAGCTCGGGATGTTACTTTGGTTTGACTGTTTGCATGTCTGCTACTGATTAAAATCACGCACTGTTGCATTTAAAGCCAAACAGAAAACACAAAGGACCAGTTAACAAGCTCATAGTTTGTTCTGCTGCCCCCAGGTGGCCACAAACTTTATTGATGCAACATCAAAATATAAAGGATCAACAATAGAGCCCTGAGGAACTCCACCAGTCTATAAGGTGAAAAGTCACTGAATAGAGCTTTAATGCAGAACATGAAGGTAAAGCTGTTGGACTCAGTACCAGCAGGTACTGAATGACTCTGATTGGGTCAAAATTAGGACTTAAAATCCCCAAATCTGTTTTTTTCTTGCTTTCTCTGACTCATAACTTTGTTGTTTGTAACAAAGCTTGATCTCAACGTTTAGCATAAAAGTCCATTTTTATTAATTTTGTGACCAAGTGTCAGGATTTAGTTCACGTACGTCAAAATATATTCACCGTGTACTCATGAGATTTGTTTATCGTCATCATTTGGACGTTTTATCTCCAGATGTGTAACTTTAGCTTCTGTTCTTGTATAACTGTAATACTTGTATACTTCATGCGTCCTGTTTGACTGAAACGGGTTTTGGCCGTTATAATAATCCGACGGCAGTGACCAGGTGCGGTCCTACCGAGCATGCTCTCTCTGCCTCCCTGAGGCGCCTCCTGAGCCAATCGGGCGGCAGCGTCTGTGCTGATGTCATCGTCTGACCCGCCCCGTCCTGCGTCCCCATTGGTGGAGATGTCCGGAGAGACGATGACTCCGTGTTTCTGTTCGGGAGAAAGTCGATAAATCACGGGACAGAACAGATCAAGCCTAGCTCCCGCTGGCCGGCCGTCTGAATACCTTCAGTAACTCCCTCAGGCCGACCACGTCGCTCCTGAGCCGGTCGCGCTCGATCCGAACGATGTCGGAGATTTCTGTCTGCCGCTCTAAGGCCTGACCGAGGGGATGAGGGAAGGAAACAAGGGAACGAGGAAACAAGGGCAGAAGCAAGGAGTTAGTGAAAGAAAGAGAAAGTGAAATGTTAGTTGAAGGTGTTTTCACATTCTGGTGTCCAATCAGCTGGAAGTACCGAGATCTTCTTCTCCTTCCACTGCAGAGCCTCCTGGAGGTCCGACACCTCCCGACAGTAGCTGCTGCTCTTCAGACGCAGATCTGAAACCTCCTGACCAGCAGAGACCAGTAGAGACCAGCAGAGTCCAGCAGAGACCATCAGAGGCCAGCAGAGACCAGGAGAGGCCAGTAGAGGACAG